GCCGGCGTGGCCGCCTCCCCGGGTTCGGGGGGATCTCTGCTCCCCCATGGGCCTCCATGGGTGCAGGGCACAGCTGCCTCGCCATGGGCTGCACCAGGGGTGCCGGGGAATCTCTGCTTTGGTGCCTGGAGCACCTCCTGCCCTCCTTCTGCACTGACCTTGGGGTCTGCAGAGTTGTTCCTCTCACATGTTCTCGCTCCTCGCTCCAGCTGCAGTTTGTGTCCTGGTGTTTTGGGGTTGTTTTGGGCTTTGTTTGTATTTTTTTTTTTTCCCCCCTTCTTAACTATGTTATCCCAGAGTTGCTACCACCGTCGCTGATGGGCTCGGCCTTGGCCAGCAGCAGGTCCGTCTTGGAGCCAGCTAGCATTGGCTCTATCGGACACAGGGGAAGCTTCTAGCAGCTTCTCACAGAAGTCACCCCTATAGCCCCCCCCCCTACCAAAACCTTGCCATGCAAACCCAATACAAATATGTAGCACAGTTGGGGAAAATGTGAGGGACTGGACAGAGTGAAGCAGCAGGTACTTATCTTTTGAAGATGCATTTTAGTGAAACAGCCTTGAGTTCTTTAAACAAGCAATATGTTAGGATAGTGTATTAGCAGTGCTATGAGGGAAAACAGATGTTTTCAATTTTAAAAATAATTTTTGTAGATTTGGAGTCTTGACGTTTTTCTCTTATGTCAGGCTACAATATCTGTCTTTCTGAATGGAGATATTTTGTTCAAGCTCCTAGAGTTTCTGGGGAGAATAAAATAATTGAGATCAGGATAAATTTTTCTTGAACCTTTACCCCAGACATGCAGTAGTCAATGCTACTTAGTAGAAACCAAAACAAAAGCAAATAGTGTTCATCTGTCAATGCAGCATGTTTTACAACAATGGCACAGACTTTAAAAAAACTCTTTAGCAAACTAAAAAAACAAAAAAAGAAGGACATAGATGATTTGAAGGATTCTGAGTGAATAACATAAGCAAAGTAAATGGCCACTTGGGAGCTCCTCTTTCAGTGGCTGTTGGTCAGACCTATCCACACCTGGGCCAGGTGGAGAAGCAAAGAACGAACTCTGAACCTATCTTTTCACCCTGTCTAGAGCTGTGAAAAGGAGGAAAAAATGTCAGTTTAATTTCTGTCTGTAGTTCAGTAGGGAAGTCCTCCCATTAAGTGCAATGACTTTCTAGTTCAGAATTATGCTTGTAGGATGCAAAAGGGAAGGTGTGTTCTTACCAGAACCATTTCTGGTATCTAATGTGAAAGTGGAGACTGAGTATTGACATTGAGAAAATGTAAATCTTCCAAAAATTGCATTAACGGAGACAGTAACCATATACACACATGGGGTTTTTTGGAGATGAGTTGTTAGTCAAAATAACTACAGAGGAGTCAAATTTTTAGATAAGAACACAGATGAGAGGAAAGGGAAATGAAGTTAGGAATGGTTATAACTTGAAATGAGTCTTGCCTTTCCTATACAAATGTCCTGTTATGAAGTAATCTCTATCTAGGGACCAAGGATTGTTGGCTGACATCAGAACTTGCTGTAATTGTTCTCTGTCATTTTAGGAATGTGGGAAGCAGATGGGCTTTGGAACAAGCCAAATACAATCTGATTAATGAATACTTCCTAGTGGGAGTTACTGAAGAGCTTGAAGACTTTATCATGTTATTGGAGGCAGCTTTGCCCCGGTTCTTCAGGGGTGCTACAGAACTGTACCGGACAGGTATTTCAATGGTTGATTTCCATGGATTTTTCATCCTCTTATCACTTTTTTTTTAATGTTAATTCTTTAGACAGAGATGAATACTTTTGAGTCTCTGCCAGGTTTGCCTCTCATTTGGATGATGTTCCTACAGAAGAGACAAACTCCTAAAAAGGCTTTCAGTACAAGTTTTTGGGGGCAGCCCAACTATCTCCCTGCCTTACGCAAATTGTAAATATTTAAGGTTGGGGTGAAGGCAGTTGTGTAGGTATACCGCACGTAAAAAATTGTGACGTGTGTTTATCAGAACAGTTTTGAAAGGTCTTGTAGGGGCTTCAGTTTTGTAAAATGGCTGGTAGTGGCAGATTTCCATTTCCTCAGAAGCCCTGCTGAAATTAACTGTGACTGATGCAACCTGGTGGGCTGTGCAGAAAGGTCCAAGGGATACAAAGGCCTGGGCCTGGGTACATGTTTATCTTCCTGGGATTGCAATAAGACATTTGTTATGTAGCTAATAGTTTCTAGGAGCTGGCCATGCAACTTATGATGAAGAAAAGGTCCATCTTAGCAGGGCTTCTGTCTGCAAATAGAGGGAGAAAAGGGTCCGAGGTACAGAGCCTAGATGTGTAGCATTAAGTTTGTTACAAAGCAACAGATAGCACTACTTAGGGAAAACGCTATCATCATTTTGGTCATCTTTGTCTCATGAAAGAAGTCTCTTTCTCTGCAGTTTGTAAAATTCTTGACATGTGATACCAGATTAACATCTAAATAATTAATTTTGAAAGACCAATCTTGCTCCAAGTACATTATGTACAGTAATCGTGTTCCTTAAATGAAGTGTTCATTCCCTGGGTTTATTAGAGTAAGGAGAAAGAATTGAAAGAACTGATGCAAAATTCATTAACATTTAGTGAGAGAGACTGCAATTTTCCAACCCTGCATGTTATGTTAATAAATTCTGGATTAAATTCTGTCACTTCTAATGCAGTTTATCAACATGCTGAGAGTATAAAACTCTGTAAATAAAAGGACTGTAAACACTTTTTAATCACGTGAACTTTAAAGTGAAGTTACTGCTTTCATTTTGCATTTAGGAAAGAAGTCTCATCTTAGGAAAACGACTGAGAAAAAACTTCCCACAAAAGAAACTATTGCCAAGCTACAACAGTCTGAAATCTGGAAAATGGAGAATGAGTTCTATGAATTTGCACTGGAGCAATTTCAGTTTGTCAGAGCACATGCAGTTCGGGAAAAAGATGGAGAATTATATATTCTGGCTCAAAACTTTTTCTATGAAAAGATTTACCCTAAGTCAAACTAAGAACACTATACTGTTAGATTTATGGACCTAAATCTTTGGTCACATCGTCATCTTAGTCCTCAGCCATGGAAACTATATTGCTTGTAGACCTCCAAGACGTTTCCTTATAGATCTGAGAAAAGTGGGCTGTGGATCACCTCCAGGGCGTTGGATACTGGCTTATTATGTTGGTAATCCAGAAGCAAAGGCTTCATTTCTTTTATCTAATACTTTCAGTGGGAGTTAATATCCATTACCTGAAGAAATCTACACTTTAATTCGGAGCAATTAATACACAGCAGTTCTAGTTGAAAATATAAACAAACAAAAAGTGCTTCTGTTGATGCTCCTCTTAATTTTCAGAGCAATTTATTTTCATTTATACTTCTGTGAAGAGGAAATCATTTTTCCCAGCTTTCAACATGGAAATTTTGGTTGTATACAAAATGAGTAGTGTTAATAACTGGTTGACATCTGTGCTTTGTTTTTGTGAATCATGTCACATGATACTAATTGGGATGGTTAATCATGTTCTGCTGAGAAATGCTGCTGCTGCTGAAATTGCCCTTATTTATATATGTGGTTTTATTAAAAAAATTACAACTAATCATTAGTATTAAAACATCATTTCCACGTTAATATTGTAAAAAGTTAAAGAATCAGAGCAGTGGGGTTTTTGTTTTGTTTTTTATCCCCACCACCACTGGCTGAGGTTGGGAAAACTACAAAGAAAGTTGGTATTGTCTGCAGTTCTAGTTGATCCTTACACAGTGGTATAAAAATCGTAAATTCAGTATTAAGTTTCTCCATGGATTCTTTGTAATAATTGTAAACTGAGGTATTGGTGAATCCATATTATGACTCCATTAGTGAGCTGTGGTATGGTTAGGGTTTTCCTACTACTTCGATACTTTTACCTGTAGAATATTTTTACTAAGGTGCTTTATAATGTGTTTTAAAGCATTGCATTTACAAAAGGAGTAAAATGCTGTACATACTGCTTATTTTATGTATTTGGACCAAAAGGTTTAAAGTAACTAGTTTAAAGTGGGTTTTTTGCACCAGTTCTGTTATGTGTGAAGTGAAAAACATCACATCTGCTTCCTGGTTGAGTTAACTGTTGGACATTGCTCAAATGCACTTCAGTGACCTCTCTGACTTCAATACCAGAATGTTGTCCAGGGATTCTCTTTACAGAAATGTAGTAGTCTTCATCCTTTTAGTATGGTAAGAGGAAAAGAAGAAACATGTCATGTGTAGTCTGGTTGAGAAAGATGCGGTGAACTTGATTGACATAATTGTATTTATGTAACTGCCGTATGTGACTATTGTAAATTTGTGAGTTGCCATTATTAACAATGTGGAACACCTGGTAGATGAAGTAAATTGAAATTTGAGAACAGATGTTTGGGGCCACTGCGTTACAGCAAATGGCAGTGGAGAACTACAAGAATTTGTTTCCTATTCAATTTTCTTAAAGATTTCTTAAAGATGAGTATTTACACATCTTACACCTGCCTTTTCTTAAAGTGCTTTTCACGGGGTTTAACGGGGGAAGGCACTGAGAAGACAAAGTAAGGAATGGTGGTAAAGGTTTAAATTCCTAAGGGATGATGCTGAAAGGTTAGTTTAAAATTACCAAGTGGGGTTTCTTTAACCAGCTTGTTCTTGTAATGAAAACAAAGGAAATGGAAAATAGTCTGTGAACTGGATGTCTGCAGCCAAAAGCAACAGCCCAATTACAGAGAGGATAATGAGAGACTATCAAGTACATCTTGCATTTTCTTTGTTTTCTTGGATTTTTCCCTTTGAATTTTAAAAATAGATCTCTCTTTGTTCTTCCCAAATCATCAGGGAAGTTCCTTCTGATAGCTTACCATTTATACAGCATGAACCATGCATAAGATTTCCTGTTCTAGTTCTTGTCCATTGATGTCATTAAAAATGCCAACATGTTTGGGAATAGGATGTGTTCGTTCACACATGAAGACATGTTTCCTAGCTAAAGAAAGGAACTGAGGAGTCATACACAAGAAGTAGCTAATGGAGATCTAAAAATTTCTGTAACAAAGCAGTAACTTTTTTGAAATAAAATGAATATTTATAATCCCAGGAAAGATTATCCACTCAGTGATAGTTTTATGTTAGACATTATTTTGACTATGTTGTTTTCCTTCAGAATAATTTGGATCAGTTTACCTTCTTGAGTCTCCTTCGGAATTTTTAGAAGAGCACCTCTAAGAGAGCAGAAGAGTTTACTAAGTGAAAACATAAAATATTCATCTAAGTAATGAAATAGGCGTGCAGACAAATGCTTCTGTATTGACAAGAAAAAAATAGGCAAAACTTCTACTGATTTCAGTGGGGTCTACAGAAACCTCTTCTATTCTGTAAGCAATTTTAAAAGTTGTGTTTCTTTTTTTTTTTCTTCTTCCTTCCAGGATTTAGAATTTCTTAATTATGCATCTTCAGTAGCAGAAATAATAGAACAATGCAATTGTTTTACTTTTAAGAGAGCAATATATTTTTCATAGTTCATATAAGAAAACACATTTTATTTAATCAGATATCACTTCCTGTTCTTTGCTGTGAACTGACAGGGTTGAGACAAACCAGAGTTTTAGGAATATTTTTTAAAAATGCTAGCTACAGTTGGAGAGGTATTCATTCCAGACGTACTCTGAAAATACTCTGAAAATGTTATTGTCTGTGGAACACAGAAGGAATCAAGACTGTCTACTTTTATATCTAGTGCAACCATTAAGTCAACTGTGAACTTTTTAGAATCCTTTGAATTCCGAACTATCAAACTTGGATTTCCTAAAAGACAGTTTAGGAAAAGGAGCTTTACAGATTTTTAATAACCTGCTCTTTTCATCTTCTATTCAGAAATGGAAACAATCCAAATTGTTGGTATTAAAAATATTTTACAGTATATAAATTGAATGTATCTTGTGTATTTTCCCTTACTGACTTAGAGTGAAAGGCAGCAATACATGGATTTTTGTTGTTGCAGGTTGTATGATCAGTAAACTTACTATGCAGCCTCCTGAGCACGGATCTTTTAACTGAAGTCACCATAGTCTCTGCACGGGAGCGAGATTGGCTTTTTGCAGGGCTAAGTTCATTTGAAAGGTGCTGAAATGCTCGTATATATATACATAGGTGAGAGTAGTTTTTGTTACGCTGTTCTGTACTTTTTGTACAAAATTAACGCCCGGATTTTGTGCAAAACTGTAGCCCTGTTGAAACTCTTGGTGTCAGCGTAATGGCGGTAAGCCCAGCTGCGCTGGTAACTACACAGCCATAACCACGGCATGCCTGGAGCACTTGCGATACACTGGGCAGCGTTGACAGGAGAGCAACAGTGTTTTCAGCTCCTTCCCGTAATAATTCTGCAGCCATGCAACAAGAATTTCACTCCTATTTTTTTAGTGCGTCTATAAGCAGACACAGGCCTAGGGTGCAGAATGTCCTACGTGCGCATTCCCGCTTGCTCTGGGTTGAGTTTTCAAGCAGCCTCTCTATTAATGGTACGTGGATCGTGGCTTCATTTTCAAACAGGCATGAAAATTTAGAGCTATACAACATGGGAGAGGAAGATGTAGCCCATCCTGGTCATTTGAAATGCCTTTTCTAGGTACTTAGTTTTTCTGAAGATACCTAGCTATTCTTACTTTCAAGGAATAAACATTTGCTTATTTATGGTCTCAGAGCAGTTCTATTTTATATCAGGGAAAATTCAGTTATTTTCTGTTAGAATTCTAAATAAAACTTTCCATTAAGCTTACCTGGCGTTGCTAAATGCGTATATGACAAAAAGGGATACGGACGATGCTGTCTGAGCTCTGCTGCTTAAGCGGTCAGTGGAAAAGCCCGATTTGAGTGCACTGCCAATTTAGCTCTTCAAAATTAGAGCGTATTTTATGACTACTAGAGATTATACTTAAGGAAACTGTACGGCTGCTTAGTTGCATGGATGCTTCCTTTACTGTAAGCCTATGCAACTATGTAACCATTGCAGCAGTATTTATAGAAAGAGCCCTCTTCCTGAGACTTTTCTGGAGCAGAATTATAAATGTTCGTACACTTGTACTGTCTGATATTTACATCAGCAGTTTTCTGTAGCTTCTGTAAAAAGAGACAGGTTTGTGAGCATTTCTAAAGCAGTACTGAATGTAATTTTGAAAAACATGGATTGTGCTTCATGACTTTTTTCTTTTTAAACACACACACAGAGCTAAATAGTGCCTTTTTTCCTCACAATCCATGTTGAAGATGCTCGCTCCCACTCACCCTCCGTAAATTGATTCATTTGTGCAATACTATTCCAACTTGAAACCATTTTGTCACAGCTGTTTGAGAAATAATCGCCATTTTTCCTTACTATGCTGCCAGCTTTCTGTTGTTGAAGTGTTTCAGTTGATTACCTAATGCAAATGCTATAAAATAAAACACCCAGTGGGAAGGGGAAAGAAAAGAAGTCTGGTGTCCTGTCTTAATATTTGCATGTCACATTCACATCAAATGTTTTTTTTCTAGAAGTTGTTGTTATGCAGTATTGTGAACTTCGTCTGCAGCTATTGCAATTTGGGAGGGGAGGGGTGAGCTGGGATGTAGCTCATCTGTAGTAATTTCGTACAGCTATAACTAAATACATTTATAGGCCTTTAGAACGTGCATTGGGCTTTCTGGCCAGAAATGTAATAAATTTTCAGAGGGTATACGCTGTGCTGAAAGCATCAGTGAAAATTTCTTAATATTAAAACAGAGATTTGTGAGAACAGAAAACTGGCGTTAAAGCAATGCCTTGATACATATGTGCTTCCCTGCCTGAGGGAACAAATGACCCGACCGATGACTGTGGTATGGAAGACGCTCAGTTACTGCAGCAATGAGTACGGTATAAGAACTTGAGCAGAACAGAAATGTCATTTGCGTTTGTAAGCAGGCACTTAAAACACGAAAATACAGTGAGCACGGGTAGGCTGCTCCGTTTAGGATTTCCGATGTGTCCGGTAACCGTTGCCCTATAAACATTCCTCGCTGCATGGCTAGGGAGCTGAGCAGTCATCTGACCCAGCCAAGTTTCTTAATGCAATAGTTCCTAAATACTTACTTGTCAGCCTTGATGATTAAGAACCATCCTGCAGTTACTCAGCAGCTTCCACTCGAGGATTTTGATGGCTTTTAAATCCCCCTTTCGTTGCAAGTAGACTTTTCCTTACTTCCATCAGTGGAAGCGATAGGTGTAGTTGTGCACAGGAAACAAAGTCTCTCTGCTTATATCAGCCAGGGGGAAGCGGAGTTAAAAATTGCCTATATAAAGGTACAGGACTTCCTAAGGTCACTGCACCTCTTTCTGAAATGGTATAGTAAACAAAATGACAGCCAAAAAAAGTTACAATACAAAAAGTGCTGTCTTTAAAATGACAGTAGCTTCTCCTGTGAAAGACAGAATGGCTGTAGTGTTACAGATATGTGTTAAATACTGGTTGAACTTTTCTTTTTTAACTGATGCTGCCTTTTGCACAGGTAATTAATCTCATCAGTTGGAATTCATGGGAGGGGAGTGGAAGAAGGGAAGGGGTTTTTTTGTTCAAAGCTAGA